AATAGAGGAAAGATTGCCAGTTTTCATTAATACGTATTGACGTATCAAGGATTGTAGGGGATTTAAAATCTAAAAGAAAGTAGCAAAAGTAAGAAAATAAGCTGTATTTCAGTAAATTAATCTTCACCACAACGCTTAATATCTGGAAATAAATAAATCCGGTTACGAAATCTTTGGTTTCGTTGATGGTTTTCTTTTGGTTTCGTTTTTCAATTTTAAGATGAAAGCTAGTAAAAAGAAACTCATAGCTTTTTTATTACAATATTGAAACCGTTTTTTAATTTTGTGAAGACTGTACGAACACTGTTATAATGCATTCCGATTCTACACATCTAACATATTATCCGATAGAATCCTATAACCTACTAGATAGAACCCTACATATTAACCGACTTTACAGAAAGAAAATAATTCTGGTACAATTACCGTAAAATATTTAAGTGACATTTCTTGTAAAAAAACATAATTATGGTTAATGAAACCAAACTGTGCTGTATTTTAACCATTCACTTGGTAATTTTTCCGTTTATATGATTTACAGTATTTTCAAAATTATAATACTTATTACCACACAGTTAGTAAAAACTATAAAACTGAAAAGTAAATTTAACCGAATAAATGATTTTTATACCATTCTCTAACGAATCATGATAAAATTACCAAATTTTTTTAACATAAAACTATAAAATTAAAACATATTTTATTGTTAATTTTACCATAACGTTTCGATAAAAATTCCGAAATTTTTGGTGTTTTCTAGCTAGAAACACGCTAGCCATAGAGCTAGAAACACGGTAAATTTTCCTTTACCATATTTTGGTAGTTCTTACCATATATTTTTTCTTAGTGTATACACTCAGGATTTACTGAGTTTTAGATGAATGTCTGTGTGTTAGGCTTAAAGAAAAAAACAATATCTCAACTAAATGTAATGACTGGATGAAGTGTGTAAAATGCATGCTATTGCTTCAATAGTCATGTACAAACTTAGGAAATCTTTGCCTAAAATGTGGTAAAGTTTTTTCGAAAGTGATTGGTATACTGAATCTATATGTACATCAAAGTTTGTTTATTAGATTCTTTTCACTTATTTTCTAAGTGAGATATCATTTCTCATAACTTATTGCAAATTTTTCAAGGCTAATGGTTATTTTCCATACCTTAATTTCCTTTACTGTATTAGATGGTCATCTTACCTCGACAATTAGGAGATAAATTCAATTGTCAGTTTAATTTCAAGCAGTTTTTCATAGTTTTTTCTCCATATTTTATTTGGGGAAAAAACGTATAAGGGAAAAAACGTTTACGTATAAGATTTTAAAATTTCATTTCATTATTGTTTGTGCATTTAATAAAAATAAGAATGAACATTTCTTGTAACTCTATTCTTTGTAGTTTTACTTTGATTTGGAAAAAAACTATGGTCATTTTTCCTAGACTTACTCCATTTAATAAAAAAGTTTAATTTAAATTTTTTGAGTCGACTTTCTTTTTATTTTTTAAACCAAATTTAGGTAACTTATTATATTATATAATCAAACTTTATGTATTTCAATAAAATCATCATAATTCTATTCACGTCTTAAAAGTGAGCTTAAAAATCTTATCTTAAAAATCACTATCTTAAAACTAGTAACTATCTTAAAAATAAGCTTAAAAATTTTTTAAATTGAGTTTGGTTGATGCTATAAAAGTAATTTTTAAGTTATTTATTTATTTATTTTTTGTCCTATGAAAAGTTCAATTTCGAATATAGCTATTTCTGAGAAATTTATCGTTATGAACAAATGAGTTCCTTAAAACAGTTTTAATTTCACATATTTTAATAAAACTGTTATATATATTTTCTTCTAAAGATTCTAATAAAATTTATTTTGTGAACTGGCAAATGAAATTAAATAAGTTATTTTGTCAAAACAGATATATATATCTTTTTCCTTAAAGAGAATGCTAGTCTGATGGGAATGAATATTTTAAGACTAATAGATGAATAGTTGAATTTTATGAATATATTCAACCGATTTAATTTAGTAATCAGAATTATTAAAAATAAAGAAGCTACGGTGCATATAATATTATTTATTTTGAATATTTAATTAGGAATTTCATTAAAATTGAAGAAAAAATGAAAATTATTTTGTTAATAATTGCCATTTATAATATTTTTGAATTACTAATATCTTTATTGTTTAATTACAGCGAGCAAGTTTATAGTATAAATTTTGAAATAAATAAAAATACAAAAAAAAATCATATGTATGCAAATGAATGCATTAGAAAAAGTAACATATTTTTATTAAAGTTTATTGTTAATGCATTCAAAAACTGATTAAATAATTCGTTTTCAAACACGCATTTCTGAAAATTAAAAATTAATTTTACAATTTCATTCCATGAAAACAAAACTTTAATTTCACAAATCATTTCTTTAATTTCTAATTAGAAATTGAAGAAATGATAGTTTGGTAATAAAAGGCGAAACGAACAATATAATTTGCATTTTGAATTCCTTTTCTAGAAATTTGAAGGAAAATAATAAGTTTTAAATAGGTTTTATTTAGTTAAATGATTTGAATTATAAGACTGAAAATATTTTGCCAGATTAAATTTTGTTTGCTGAGATTTGTACTAAATAAAAAAAAATTGATGAAACATCAGCTTAACTTAAAGATAGATATAATGTATCAGTTAACATTGAGTTGGCTAACATTGCAAATAAATTTCTTCAATTTAATAGCAAAATTTCATACTATTAGAAAAATTTTGAACCAAAATATCGCCCAAAATTGCTACAAAGTAAATGTGGCATCTGCATTGTAAAAAATTCCGGATCAAATAAAGACAAAAATTACCGTAAAATCCATTTTTAACGAAACATGCTACGGAATCTGATATACTGTATACTGTAAATCTGATATACTGTAATTTTTACAGTAATAATTACCCTAAAATCACTGAAGCACTCGCATTAAATAAATATTACTCTATAAATTACTGCATAATATTTTACGGTAAAAATGGATTTTACGAATGATGCAAGTGCCGGAACTTTATACCGTAATTTGACCAGGAATTTTTTTTGCAGTGTACTAAGTGGAGCCCTTTTATCGTTCTACGAACTTGATTATACAATACTATAAGTCAAGTAAAATATGATTCCTTTTAACACCTACTTATGGTTTTAAAGTACCGATATTATACTTCGTTCAATCAATTTTGATTCAGTTTGTAACTAACCTTATATTTTGTATATAACCTTGTATTTTACCTTATAACCTTGTATTTTTCTATTAAATCCGATTAGAATCTATACTTTAATGAAAAATTCAAGTTTGAATATCAAGAATTTCATAGTGCTGCAATTCCACTTACATTTTATCTTATAATTATTGTATATGTATTCTGTTAAGCTTAGGAAGTATTTATACGATTCAATACTTTTTTACACATTTACATAAAGTTAAAAACTTTGGAGCTTAATATATGCAATATTTTTCACATTTACAGCGACTTTAATTCGGAGTTAATTCGGACTTTAATTCGGACGAATTCGAAGTTAAATCATGTTTTCGTTTTTCTTGAACTTGATTACACACTTTAAAATTTTCGGATCAAATTACGGTATAAATACGGTATAGGCATCCTTAAAAACCGTTTTAACCGTAAAATATTCAGTGATTTTACAGTATTTATTACTGTAAAAAATTACGGTATATCAGTTTTTTGTTCCGCAACATGCGGTAAAAAGCATGCCCTGCTTTTACCGATTTTGCGGTAAAAAGCACAGCCATCCAGTGTATCGATAATTTTTACCGTAATTTGATCCAGAAATTTTTACAGTGCATGATGAACTTCGAAGAAATTATTAACATTTTTTTCAAAGTTACAGGAAATTTACGGGTACCTTTACCATGGTTCAGCATTGAACCGATTTCTTTAGAGAGTAAAAGTTAAATTGATCACGGGATGCTATGATTAAATGAAACGAAAATGTGATTTAATTTTACATCTTATGAGAGTTTCAGAAAACCTGCACACATAGAAAAATTCTGGTAAAATTAACGTGTTATATGGTAATGACATTTATGTTTAAGAAAAACATAATTCTGATTAATAAAACTTAACTATACGGTATTTTGAACATTAATTTGGACATTTTCCCATTCATATGGTAATGGTTTAACGGATAGTCTGGTATTCACAATTATAGTTTTTATTACCACACCAAAATACAAAATAGCCAAAATACAAAATTGAGAAGTAGATTTAACCGAATAAATTAGTTTTATATTATATTCCAAGGTATCATTATAAAATTACCAAATTTTACCACATTTACTAAATTTTACCACAAATTATGAAACCATATTTTATTATTAATATTACTAAAACAATTATCAAAGCTAGTCGATAAAAATTACCGAGTTTTTCGGTGTTCCCATATAGTCCGAAATACGATACATTTTACCATATTCTGATAACTTTGACCATAAATTTTTTCTCTGTTCTCAAACTTATAATTCAATTTTAATTCAATTTTCTAAACCCCAATATCAAAACTCCTTTTATATTGCTAAAGAAGTATTCCAAAACCGCTTATTACAACTTCCTGAAAGACACATAAAAAATATTGTGTAGAAACAACTTCTTGTTTCTTTGCAACACTCATACATATAAAATAAATTTTTCAACGAAGCAGAATCTCTAAAAACTTTCGACTACTTCAAATTAACTTATATTATTCATCTATCAACAGTCATTGTAGCTAGTCAAATTGAACACTGAACCCTTCCCCAACCCCCTCTGAGTTGTCGTTACAGATTTGGTCCACTGAACCATCTGCATTTTTTGTTGTCATGATAAAACTATTCCAAACGATCTTTTGCATTCACTCACATGATAATCTGGCAACACTATCACCAGATGTAATGCATGTTATTCTCCTTCCTGTCAAAGTACACTCTCTGTGAAAGACATCTAAATACGATAGGAAACAAATTTTCGATAGCTATTCTTATTCCGCGTAATGGAGTTTCTTTTTTTTTATTATTATTATTAAAAAAAGGGCATAAAGAAGCACCGGAAGAAAATGGAAAGGGACATTTTTTTTCATTTATGCCGCTTTTTCCACTATTTGTTTTTATTGAGGTCAAAAATATGTATCAGAGATTCTTCTATGGCAAATTCATAGAGGCTTCATAACTAAAGTACCTCAGATATTGAGAGGTAATCAGTTGTTCTGTTTAGGAGCTCATTAGAGCATCTCTACACTATTTTTTTGGATTAAGTTTCAATTTTTTTTTACTCTTATTCATTGAAGGTAAATGACTAATTTTTATTGAATTCTACTTTTTGTTTTAATTTAAAATGGTTATAAAAGTACATAATATAACACTATATAATTATATAGTTTAAAATTATAACTGCAAATTTACTCTTATTATTTTTTTTAACTTTTATTCATTGAAAGTGAATAACCAATTCTTATGAAATTCAATTTTTTGTCTTAAATTAAAATGGTTATAAAAGTATATGATATTACACTATATAACTATATAGTTTAAATTTCAAATTTATATATTAGTTAGAGCATTTCGAAAACGAATAAGAAAAAAATATATGAATAATGAACTAATAGATTTTGGTTAAGATTCTATGAAAATGGTTTATTACGATAAAATATTTCATTAATCAACAACTAGAATAATATATTTTTAAAATAATGTTTGCAAATTTTTAAAAATTTGCTTATGGCAATTAAGATGAATATATAGTTATTTGAAATATTTATGATCTATCTTAAATGTAAAATTATGACAGTCTTTTATGCTCCGTATCTCGAATTTTTTAACATTAGCAGATATTTATTTGAATTTGCATGAAAGTTTTATTGGTTTTATAATTACTTTCTATTAAATATTTAATGATTAAATTTCAGAAAAGTTCAAAAAAATAAGAAAAAAAACATTTAAATAAATCATTTTAAAATGATGTATGTTAACAACACAAATAAGATTAAATCTTTTCAATAATTAATTGCTTTTATTAAATTGTGGTTTTGGTTTTTATTTAATTGTAGTTCTGTTGAGCACTTCATTTATTTAAAGGAAACGTTAAAATGTAAGTTTTGAGTTACACCTCCTTGCCTAATGAAATCTATTTGACCATTTAAATTTAACTCAGGAAATTATCTGAAAAATTAATGTTTTCTTTATATTTTAAGCTTTATATTATGCAACTTGATTCACATTTTCGAATTAATAACTTTTTGTCAATTATTAATTTGGAAATTGCTTATGACACCAAATACCCTATTTAGCGTTATTGCTTCATTTATTCAACTTACCTCATCAATATTAGGAGTAAAAGTTAATTTTGATAAGTTATTTAGTATTTCATTTTTTGTAAAAGAAAAGCAACCTAATTCTTTAGATCGACATTAAGCTTTTAATGAAAAGTGGGAAAAGAGATAAAAGTAATATTACAATATTAATTAATCAGTAATATGAACTTGTTCAACGAAACAAAACTAAAAAAAATCAGTGATTAACTTTCTCATAACATATTATTTCTTTGAACCTAGTTAGAGTGTAATTTAAGCTAAATAGAAAAAGCTAACCTTTAATATTTCGAAAACTAACTTTTAGTTTTTAACTAATTTATCGAATGTACAGTGGTTAAAAACCTCACTTATGTGTCATAATGAAAAAAGTGTTGCATAAGAGACTTTTCTAATTACGTATAATTAATTAAAAGTGTGTTCCAAAAAGTATTTTCTTAACCGTTTACTATTTAACACGTGTTATAGCTGATCCTTGCTAAAATTGGATCTCTAACACCAAAAATATATATTAAAAATGATTCCTTGTAATAAATGCGAAGCATGGTACCAAAATATATGTTTTTTAAGCTAAAAGTCATTAATTTGAAAACGTTAATGACTCTTTTTACTATATGGAAATAACAATTTTTTTAACATTCTTTTTTCTCATTTCATAATCCTTCTAATCGCCTTTTTAAGTTAGCATTAAAAAATATATGAGTAATAGTAATATTCGCCTATCGTCTAATAGTATAAATTGCTTAATTAATCTATGTTTCATCATAAAGGAAAAACTTGCTTTATCATTAAATACTTGAATACTTACTTACTATAATTTCTTTTTTAATTTTACTAAGACAAAATAATATATAATTGAGCTCCTAAAAAACTGATATCAATTGAAATATTCAAGTTAATAAACATTTCTTTCAGAAATGATTCAAAAGATAAATTCCCATTATAAAAATAAAAAAAAATGTGTTCTTTTTTTTTGTTTAAATTTTGGTCTGACTATCATTATAAATATTTCAAAAAGACGAAGCTTATTCAATTTAATTTATTCTTATTCTATAAGATCTCCGTTTATTCATGTGTGTGTGGTATAAGCATTTGTCGCCTACCCTGTCAAAATGTTCAGCAAGAAGTGATGGAAGCTTAATATTTAACTGCTAAATATTAAGATAGACTCTCAACTCCATTTATATATGAACTAATTAAACTGTAGGCCTCTATATATTTAATTTTTTTTGTTCACGCTCATTTAATTTGTTCATTGTATTCTATAATTAATTTTTTAAAAATGTATCATTACAATGCCGTATTGCAAAATAAATTTTCATTTGCTTTTTTTATTAATGTACAAAATGCTCCATTCTTTCAGTGATTTACCAATAAAGTTATTATTTTTTTTGGTTAATCATTGACTTGTAAAAACGTTTGCCATAACTGCGCACTAATCATAAAATATTGCGACAAATTTATAAACATTTGTGTAGTTTTGTAAATATTATTTTGCTTCGAGGCGAAATATCTCAGACCGGCCTAAATAAACAGTTTCATTAAAAAATTTGCCAGAAAGTCCTGAAAATGTAACGCAATTGAGAAAGAAAATAACTCCTAATGTAGTATTTCTTGTGTAAGACTCGGTGGAGACATTTTTTGCCGGCTAGGTGGGACTTATCACTTGGCGACAATTTTGGTGACAAAATAATTTTTCTGGAAACATCGAGTTTTAAAGCAGTAGGACAAATATGTACGAATTTAAGTGAGAATCGTCTAAAATCGTGTCGGAAGCTCTAGAGTTTTGTATCCAAGTCTATATAAATTAAAGAGTGCGTCGCTTGTGACTGCAGTAGTGTTCTGACCTGAGTTAGATCATTTTCCCGTCTGAGATTATGAAACCTTTTTTTTGCTGTACTGCGCGCTTATTCGAGCTGTATTTGAGTGCCAGAAATATAGCTGTATTTTCTAGAAATTTGTTCTGATTTTGAAGTATTAATGACTGTTTCATTCGTCTCCAGTCGAAACGAACCTCTGTGCTCGATACAATTTTTTGTAAAATGAAAGCTAATATTCAAACTTCTCTCATACCAAAATATGTAGGTAAAACTTTTTCTTTTCCTTTTTTGAATTTAACTATCCATCCCAGTTTTCTTCATAATAGCTGTTCTTCGCTACATGATTGCATCGAGAATTTGAATATATTGTTCTTAATTTACCTGGTACCTAAATGTTCGTAATTTACCTAGTATCTTACCTAAAATGATTGATTAATTAAAAATCAGCTGAAGGAAAACCGAATAATATATTTTAAAAAAATACGGCTCACAGTTATTTACTAAGGTCATTTCTTGCTATCAGTTTCAAAGTAAGTTGCAAAGTTCGAAAATAGATGGCGTTGCAATTGAGAAAAAAATGGCAGCGTGAAAATAAAACTAATAGGCGCCCGTGCTCGTATGGCTGTTGAGACGATGTTACAAGCTTGATAGTTTTACTGTCAGCTGTTTCATCTGCTGATGAATTATTAACTAATTGCGAGAGACATTATGTCTCAGGAGAAAGAGCGTTCGTTTTCCAATGAGGTGAATGCGTTCGAATCCCAGCGATGGATGGTCGATGGCATGTAACGCAAATTCGGGTTATTTCCATCAAAAAGTCCTCCACTAAGTCAAAATTTCTCCCAATGCTTGAGCCAGAAGTTCCCTTGTCTTCTGGATTGGGCTTAAAATTACGAGGCCACTGAGTTGAACGTTAGTAGTCGTAAACCCAAAAACAGGGTCGGCTGTTCAGCGACTGTTATAGAATAAAGTAAAACTAATTGTAAAGAGCGGCGATGGCTGTGGGGATAGAGCAAACGCCTTGAGGTGAGCCGGGTTCGAATCCCAGTCATGGCTAGTCGATGCGAATTCCGCATCCAGCTTGCACCGGTGCTGACGTGAAAATATCCTCAGTGGTAGACGAATCATGGGTTAGAGTTCCCTTGCTGTCAGGCTAACCGTAGGAGGTTCTCATAGTCTTACTCTCCATGAAACGCAAAAGTGGGTTTGTTCCATCAAAAAGCTCTCCACAAAGGCACATTTCTCCCAATACTTGATTCAGGAGTTCTTTTGTCTTCTGGATTGAGTTCAGAATTACAAGGCTACGGTGTTGAACATCGGTAGTCATGAACCCAAAATTGAGTCAACTGTTCAACGACGGTTATCAAGCTGATTGTGAAAAAAAAAACTTTAGAGAAAGAAAAATATGCATTCATATTATTTTAAAAGTGTTACATTTATTATCTAGTTTGTATACATTGAATAAATTGCTTCATGTATTTCTTAATTTTGAAGTTATTTCCTTTCAAATATACTTAAAAACAATCTAACAGAACAGTGGCTAATTACTTTCTAAATAAAATAATAAAAATTCAACTCAGGTTAAAATGTTCTTGAGTAGTTTTCATGAAGAAAAAAATTCTGGTAACTTTATCGTACTGTAATGACATTTCTAGCTTTTTAAAATGAAAAAAAAAGAACATTATTTTAGTAACAAAACGAAATTATGTGTTATTTAAAACATTCATTTTGAAATTTTTCCATTTGTATGTTAACTGTTTACTAAAAAATTCTGGTATTTAAAATTATAGTTCCTGTTACCAAACATTTAATAAAAAATACAATGCTGAAAAGTAAATTTAATCAAATTTATTTAGCATTTCTGCTCTAAGGTATCGAGAAAAAAAAACGAATTTTACCTCTTTTGCCAGATTTTGTCACATATTATGAAACTATATTGTTAATTTTATCAAAATCCTTATCTCACTCAACTCAAAAAATCATGTTTTGAGATAAGTGGGTTTAAAGTTTTCATTTCTAAGGAAAATGCATAAGAAATGCTTTAGTTTGCTTAAACGATGATTACCATCAAGTTGAATTATGAGTTATGCTAGTATTGCTGCTGAAAAGAATGTGTTTTTTTATATTTACACCTGTTCTTAGTCCAAAACGCGTGTTTTC